TTCTAACAGGAGACCCTCGAAAGCACAAATAACCAATCTCTGCTTTCACTCATAATATCAGGGCCTAACACCTGTCTAGTAGAGCAGACAAGAAGCAGCTCCATTTATATACACATATTTATATACACACATATATGCCTATGTTTACATATATAAATGTGTCTATATGCATTGCAGAGGAAAAACTGGGCAATGCAAATACATTTGAATAGGTCTCTGCCCTATCACTTCATCCTGGAGTGACGTTTGGTCTCTGCAGGCTGTAGGCATTATGAAATGGTTGGTGCCCGTGCACTGAGACACCTCTCAGCACAACAGGGTGGGGATTAATGCCCGCGAGCAATGCAGATGTCACAGAGCATCGAAACATTAACCAGGACCAGTGTACATACCTAAACCTATGGTAAGATCCCTGCCCCCAACGAGCTTACAAATACAACTGGAAGCACAGGACTACAAGCCAGGGACCAATTAATTTTTATTTTCCTTATCAGTCAGCCCAAACACACTGATTGCATCGACAGCCTAATCACTGGGAGGTTTTTGGTAGGTATCACAATGCAACATTCATGAATCCATTACAGTCTGAATGTTACCCAACAAAGTCGATGTAGGCGTTTTACCTTCTGGTTCGAGGAGCCGAGGAACACCCAGCTTATTCTGTGCTATGCTGAAAGCATTCTCCAGGTTTTCTCGAGCCGATTTCTCCAGCGCTTGCTTCATGTCCACCAAAGTACAGTCTATTGCTTTTATGACAGCTAAGAAAGCGAGGCCGCTCCTCCAACTGCTGGCAAAGTCCTGAACTGCAACACCGTACCTAAACAGAATTACACACAGTTTACATGGGTGGCTGTGTTACAAAATCCCAAGTAAAGGCTTCATCATTTGCAAGTTACAAGTAAGGTTGCTGAGCTGCACCAGTCACATTTGAGATCTTTTTGGATTTCAAAACGCACAAAATAGGTCCATAAACCACAAGGACACACAGACTGGATTGGTGTGGCTAACAGCTGACATCAACCTGCTGGTAGGAAGTAGTCAGTAAAAACACCACCCTCAAGAACACAGCAACCACATTTAACATTCACAAAACCAAATGTCTCTGTGATTCCTGTTTCTGTTGCTCTCCAGCATTTTAATGCCATAGCTTGGGAAGACTGCCAACTCGTAAGTATTTAAAAGCATAAGCATAAATGATTCACATTCCTCTGTACTTGGCCTTCTATAGCAGAAAAGTGTGCTTTGCCAGTGCCAATGGTGTCAGTATTTGTATAAACCACAAGTGTGTTAGATGCCCGAAGTTTTGGAGGAAAAAACAACCATCAAACTTGCAGTGAAATACAGCCCCAGAATAGAAAATTCTGCACAGGTCATGGGATAACAGGATTACAAGGCTATTTTGGTTTTAATAATGCAGTTTTCTCCTATTAGATATTTGCAATCTGTACTCTTTGACTGCACTGAAAAGTCTATGGCCTTTACTTCTCTGGTCCTCACTTGCCCTGTGGCACCTCCCTGCTAATGACATTATGAGCATTATTTTGGGACTAAACCTGTGCTTCCTCTCTGGTCTGCACTGGCAGCAGTGAACTACGGATCTCAGTGGGACAAGTTGATCTGCACAATGAGCACCCTTGGCTTCACTGGAGATAACAAAAGGGATGATGTGGCCCACAGGAGCAAGTATTTGAGATCTAAATTCGTATCTTCAACAGCAGACACAGAACATTTGTGTTCACAGGGAGATCTGGACATATAAATCTATCAACAGACAAAACTACCAAATATTTAGCTATCCAACTTGTACAAGTAAGTTTGACCCATGCCCTCTAAAACTCCCTGGTGACCATCACTTCAGATAACCTTGCACGTAAAATACACTCCAAGCATTTACACGTGCACTAGACATCTTACACTGACGTTTTTAAACTGACAGTAGCTCTGCCAGGTTAAAGCATTACTAGACAAAACGAAATAACTGTTTTTATAATAAATAGACCTGAATGTCACACGTTCATGAGAAGTAACACAAGAATCACCCCCTTCCCCTCTTTAATTCTGAGGAAAGAGGGGCTCTAATGGGGCCCCTGTCCTTCAAGGTGCTCTGCAGCACGCAGAGAAGCTCCCTCAGGGCTGCTGCTGAATTTAAAAAGCTGTTGCTGAAGTCTTCCAATACCTTTATTTTTCAGTTCACCCCTTCTTTATGCCTACTGTGTAATTAGCGAAATACATCACATAGACTGCACGAAAGCCAGGGGGAAAGGGGAGGAGGGAGCGATCCTGTTCTAAACAGCGCCAAGCAGATTAGTGCAGGTTAACATTTAACACTCAAATCGTGAAGCCAGCAATGCACATGGCTTCAAGGTCAGACAGCTGCTGCAGACACTCGGCCGTAGTGGTATTTCCCCTTGCAGAGACCTTGTTCCTGCAAAATTCAAAGGCAGAAGCAGCCACAGCGCATGGTAATGAACACATGGGGCAGGAGAGGAAAACAGAGATTCAGCTTCAAAAGGGCAGGTGGCAAACCACATTTTTCCAGGACGGTTTGTTGTAGCTTACTTTCTGGTTTTCCTCTGAACCCAGATTAAAAGGGCTCTGATGGCTTTCCGCTGGTCCTTCACTGTGATGGACATGCTCCTCTCCACGCTGGGAGTGCTGGGGTGGGACGTGTCTGACTCGGGACCGCTGGGCCCGGAGGACAGGCTGGAGGAGGACGAGTTCCTGTTGAGGTTACCCGTCAGCTCCTTGATCTGGAATAAGAGGCAAAATATGCAGCGCTCTGCTTTAAGACCAACTGCACAGAGAACTCGGTGTGTGCTTTCATGCAAACTTTAAAGATAACAGTGCCATAACTGAATTTTAAGAGGTAATTACAGACCTGTTCGTTATAGCTCTGGACTGGTACTGCGCAGGCCTGACAGCCAGCAGCAGCCCAGCAAGCAGAAAGGGCAAGGAGTCAGCTAAGGCTGAACTGAGCAAATTCGTATTAAACAAAAAAGCAGAGAAGCATGTCCTTGCAAGAAAAGTTAGTTCAACTGAAATTGTTCTTTGTCTTCACAGGACTCGCTCCAGTGAAATACTTTTAGCCAAGAAGTGGTGACCTGCAGCAGCACTCCTGTCCTGGTCAGCACTGAGATTTAAGCCCAAATTATCCTCTGCGCTGATTTTAGGTCCCCCAGGCCCTCTGGTGCTGGGGTGGCAGATTCTGGTCACACCATCTCTGCCTTTGAGTCCGTCTGGCCACACTGGTGCTGGGCACCACTGTTCAGGAGGAGCGCAGCCAGGGAGAGAAACCCCAGAGCAACTTCAAGATAGAGATTATTTTTTAAACCTGTAGCCATTGGAAATGAGCCCAAGAGCCTCAGAGTCTTACGAGATTCATGGAAACCCTCCCTCCGTCCCTCTCTGTTCATCAGAATTTGGTGATGTCTAGAAGAACATAGATTAGGGAGCGGTTTTCAGCTAAGCCTGGGGCTAAATCAATTTTCAGGCTGAAATCAGTTTTATCAGGTCCAGGCCCTTCAAGAGCTTTCATTTGCCCCCTCTACATCAGTTGTGAATTTTTGCCATGTTCAGTAAGTCTCTGGGGATCAGTGAGTCTACGTGGAAATTCCCCACCACGTTGGACCCAATCCAGAGGAGGTTATTGAAAGTAAACTGTGACCTGGAACCAAACCTGAGGCGTTGGTTCAGATCCAGGGAATTTGAAGCAGAACCCTGAGAAGGCACAGGAGAGAAGGGAAAGCAGTAATCTAAAGCTCTAATTCTGGTCCAAGTCAAACGAGGGCTTAAATTGCCTCCTATTTACACCAAAATAGGTCCAATGAAGTAAAATGAAAGCAGCTGCAGGTATAAAATTAGTGTATATTAAGAGGGAAAAGCTTAGGTTAAGCATGCTTAACTATGTCCTTTTGGACTGAAAATCAATTTAAAAATCAGTATTCAGCTGGAAGAGATTGATACCGTGAAGATTGTTCACTTATGATTAAAGTATTCAAGTTTTATTACCTGAAAAAACAAGATTATATTCCATATTAGTCCAAGTACCAGAGAGGAATTTCCATCTGCTATTTCTGCTGCATCAATGCTAACAAGCTTTACCTGTAGAAGAGAGCATAAACTCAGAGACGAATTCAAAGCAGCAAGGTAAATGCAAATAAATGCACTGGCTTGAACTGAGACTACTGAATGTGTCCAGAACGCTTCTGCCACAGACTGGCCACCCAAAAAGCAGGACTGAACTCTTGTGTTAATGATAATTAGCCCTGATTACAGATACTCTGCTAATGGAACGACAATCTCAAGCCCCCTGTGTGGTCTGCAGAACAGAAGTGAGCCCAGTTCTGCATCCTCAGGACCACAAATGTGTTTCCTCCATACAAAAATGGAACAAGATGCTGCCCCCTCCAGTGGATCCTGTTCTTAAAAAGCTGAGAGTCAACTCCTGTACAAAAATGAAATCCTAGCCAGATCTGCTTACTTCTGTTTTTTTAAGCATCTCCTTTCTCCGTGTTTCTCTCACCTTACACAGCCTGGCAGAGCTCTGATTAGATCAGTTAGCGAAGGATAGGGTTGCCTAATCCAAGCAAACTCTGGACTTTCCCACCCTGTGGTTTCTTCCACCTGATAACACCAGGATGTTATTCCCTTAGACAACACAGACGTGGTTTTGGCAAAGGCCAGGGAGGAGGGAGGAAGCTGCCAGTGCTGCACATGGTGCCCAGACCCAGCTAAAGCCCAGTTTACAGCCCATTTATCACTGGGAAATCCTGGAGGTGATGAATCACTTCGCAGGGCTTTACCCCGCTGCCCCAGTTCCACAGCAGCGCAGGCTGACGGGTGCCACCCACTGCGGTTTAATACCTAACCCTGCGGCTCCTGGCAGCCCGAGGCATTTTGCCAACGCCACCTTTCACTGCCCGGTTTGGTCCAACTGGAAACAGGAAAGCAAAATAACTTTCTATCTAGTGCTTTGCACAACAGTTCTCAATCTTAGCAGGAGGACACCTCTAGCTGTCATATTTCAAAGCTCAGATTTTTCGTTAGCTCCAAGATATTTCGCATGGGAAAACCTTTTAAGATCGAGTACATTTGAATAGCAGTTTCTCCAAAATGGGGAGCAAGTGGCATTTGTCATTAGGCTGCTCTCAGTGTCAGCTCTGTCTTCTTGCCGCTGCTAACGTTTGCTGCCCTGCCAGCAGACATACCTGACTATAAAACACTGCCTGCTCACTCTTAAGGAAACAAGAAATCCATACAAAAGTAAGTGTTTTAGCACCGTTAATTAAAAGGCGCCTGTGTCCAAGGCTCCTCCTGCCTGGCCTTGCTCGCTGAGGTCTTAGGTTGTCTCCAGCAAGGTCCTGGCAGACAGACACGCTCCAGCTGCAGCTCTGAAATGTGCTGATATCAACAGAGAGAAAAAAACCTCATCTGCCAGTGTTTGCCCGATAAAAAGATCTTCCAGCACAGCAAGAATGCTGCAGTCCTTATAGGACACAGTCCAATATTGGTTTCTCTTTCTGAAAGATCTGGGTATAGCAGATGTATGAGTTGTGAGGCTGGTTCTTCTCGTAACACCATTACTTCTAAACAGCAGAGAGTTCTCAAGACACAGGCCACATCCATAGGGCTTTGGAGTAAAGCCCTAATGGGAGAATAAAAAAAGAGCTGAATCATTTCAACCTTGCTTGGTCACTTACAACTCCAGAAGTGATGTTGCAGCAGTGCCGCACTGACTGTGAGGGAAGCTGCACCCTTACAAGGTTTTGATTCCTGCAATTATCCATTTCTGCCATGCTCCCAGATTTCATTTTCTCTTGCTTTTAACTCATGATGAGCTGATGCAGCAATTTACCAGATAAATAATAATACTGAAAGTGTTTCTGATGAAAGGAAGGAAAGTCATCTACCCTCAGCGCCACAGAAGTAATGCCACTAAGACCCAGTTCATAAAGATTACTTGCATTTCTTTTTATTGTCTTTTAATATTGGGTTCCTGATCCTTTAATCCTGTTGAACTTTTACACTATAAAATGAACAAATAATCCTGTAGGTGTTCTCAGTATAAATTTTTATGTGACTTTTCAGCCTTGCTGCTCACCTAAGTCACAGTGCCTTTAAGCCATGCATTCCTCTCACGTACATGCAGCACAGCAGACTAGTTACAATTACAATCAGTATTTGCAATATACATCCAGAGAAGGTACTAAGACCAGCCTTTGAAAATACTCACATTACTGTCCTCCAAGAACTTAAGTGCTTTGGCTATGTTGTTCAAACGAAAAATGCGATGGGTTGAAGATTTGTATTCGTGCATCTAGGAAAAAATAAGAGCCACGGTGTTTTTAGAAATGGTGGAATTATTCACCTCTACACACAAAGCTTAAAAACCTACAAACAAAGCTAAGGAAATCTTCCTATATAAAATTATTGCCAACTTTTCTGATCAGCAGACTGCCTCAACTACACGATCTGCCCTTGCTGAAGCAAAGCAGGGTTAGCAACCAGCTTTTCCTGCTCTCCAGATGTTATCGCTCTCTTGGACCTGCCACGTTGACTATTTATGCAATCACTTCCCAACCATGTTCAGTCACAGGATCAAATTTACCTAAAATTCATAGTATTTTTTGTTGTTGATTAAATTAAATGATCTTAATTAGGAAGTGTGAGCAGTTTTCATAGCAGCCACAGACAGGTGGGTGGTAGGAGCCTTCATTTTGGCAGAAATGCAACAGATTTGTTGCACGGCCATCTCCCTGCAGTTCCACTTGGGCACACTGGTTTATCAGCTCAGGGAGGCAACTCTCCCCTCAGTTCCTTTCCAGCCCTGCTCTCAGTGCAAGCTGTGTGAATGCACTCAGAGACACTGCTGCTTCTGCTGTAACTTCCCAAAACAGCGAGAATATTAAAAAATGGGTGGTTTTGAATGCGTGACCACGTGAATGCTGCAGTACAACGTGGATGGTTCAGCACCTACAGAGCATCCCCTGGTGACTGCAAGTGCATCTGCAGCGGTGAGACGGCTGCAGAACAGAGCTCTCCTCTGGTCCAGAGGTGATGCCCACACAAGAGAGCCCCAAAACAATAAGAATATTAAAAAATAGGTGGTTTTGAATGCGTGACCACCGTGAACATTGATGCTGCAGTACATGGATGGTTCAGCACCTACAGAGCATCCCCTGGTGACTGCAAGTGCATCTGCAGCGGTGAGACGGCTGCAGAACAGAGCTCTCCTCTGGTCCAGAGGTGATGCCCACACAAGAGAGCACTTGCTGACAGACTGATGTGGAAATAAAACATTAAATTCAACTGTAACTGGCCACTTTTCATATCTGCACTGGGTGTGCCCATTTCTGGTAAGTGGAACTTTACACAGCTTTTACAAAGAAAGGAGGAGAGAAAACGATTCTGATAAGTAAAGCTTTGCGCTTCTGATCTAGACCATACAGGTAAGACTACCAAAACCTGAGCTGGGATACCAAAATTAAACTCACAACTACACCAAGCATCACCAGACCTATTCAGTGTCATAATGATCTTAGAGAAACCTGAATTTATGGATTAAAAAAAAATAATACAGCAAATATGTGTTGGTAATGTGACTTGGGTGATCTCCAAGTAGACCATGTGAGCATTAATGCAATAAAACCTTAAAAACCTAAGGGGTAGGAACACTTAACACTGATCACACACCATTTACACCTCATTGTTATACATTTCCCTGAAATCTAAGTTACAACTGAGGACACTAGTCTGTAGCATGAGGAAATCACAGTGAAGTTGCTGAAATGCCTATTACTATGGCATGGGCCCTAATTCCCCCTATTCCTTGGATGTCTATACATTGTTGCTTGTAACACGCAGAGCTCCACACCTAGGGAGGTTTCTCCCTCTTGCATACGTACCAGCTTTTGTCCTGACAGGACTTCCAGCAGCGCCATCAAGATTTTGCCATCTTGTATGTCAATAAACAAGTCTCGCACTTTCAGGGGAGGCTTGCACTGTGAAGAGAAGAAACCAGGTGGCTTTTAAAGAAGTACTGCTTGATATGATATAGGCAGAAAATATATGTTATAATACAGATATAATATATAAAAAATGATGCATGATTTCACAAAGTAAGAAGGAGAATTTTACAAGGCAGCGGTACTAGAAATAAATCTCAGCCTGCAGGAAGAAAGGGGCGACTTTTCTTCACATCAGTGGCAACTCTGTCTGAGGGATGTCAGCTAAGCCTGAGACACAGGACTCATGTGACTGCGATCAGGCAAGGACTTATTCCAGATTTCCCATAACAGACTCTCACCCTAAACACTCTGCCTAGGAAGCAACCACCCAGGGGTTGGGTGTTGAACCCTCAGACTAAGACAAGTCCAGCAGAACCGAATCTCACCTTATGCCTGAAATGAGCCCGAGATCCACCCAGCCCCACCCAGCCCCCATCCTGCCACCTCTGTAAGGTTTCTGGTGATGCCATTCTGTTTTTCAATATTTTTGAAGTACTTTAAAGAGCAACTTCTTGTCTTGTGCCTCCTCCAAAGGGAGCCATCTCCTCCCGTCACCGAGGTGTCTGATGATGTGAGGCACAGCCAAGCCAGCTCAGCTCAGCCCTGCGGGGCTGTCTCACCCACAGCAATGTCACTGCGCAGGTGTCCCTCACTCAAGGGTCCTAAAGAGCCAAATCTTCTCATCTTTGTTTGGGCAATGCACTACTGTTCAATTAAGCACTGCTTCTGGCAAGCCGAGACCATACATTTTGTGTACCAGTCTTTAATCTAGCCAAGAGTACTAAACAGTGCTCCACAGCATTCATTTCAAAATTAAATAACCTATCTGAAAGGCTCAAACCCAAACCTTTTTTATTCTTTCAGTACTTAAGAACATCTAAAACTCAGATGATGCAGGTGACTTCCAACAGTCCCATGACCAGCAGCGCCAGCTCCTCTCAAGAGATGACCCCAATGGGATGGTCTGCTCCAAAAGGGGACACACCACACCCTAAGTTTCCTGAAGAACTACAAGAAAAAGACTTCACTGCCACCCTTAAAAGAAAGAAGCCACTCTGCAAGAGGTGCTCCTTTCAGGATTAAAGGCAGAAGCCACTTTCCTCAGTGGGTGTCCTCAGGGAATCACCTGTAATTAGAGAGAGCTTGAGCACAGCTCTCATTATTTATGTTTGTTGTGCCACTTCCAGGAAAAACATCAATATAGCAGCAGGCTTTTGCCCTCTCTTCAGAAAAGCATTTAGTTTTTGCTGAATCAGAGAGGAAAAAACTTTGTGCGCACTCCAGAGAAAACAGTTCACCTGCCCACAAAGTGTCTAAGACTTCATGTGCTTGGCACCACAGGATTAACAGAACCCTACAGCCTTCGTCATGATCTAATCTCCAGTCACACATTTGACAGCCTCTTCTGACAACTTCCAAAACTGCAGTTAGTTTAAAGCCCTAGAGCCTGGTTCACGCTGAAATCACATAACAGTGCCTTCGTCCTGAGGGACCTCTGGGAGCAACTCCAAGTCCAAACATCCCCAGCTACCCTTGTTCTGATTTTCCGGTGAGATTTAAGAGGATCCTTTATTCCTTCAGCAATGCTTACTGCAGAGTAGTGGACTTAAGCAACTATACATGTGATGCCTGTCTTCTAAACCTCTTCTACTTTACTATGTCTGAAATGCAGTTGTTTCCAAGCACTCCAGGAGCTAAACTGAGAGTCAGCTTCTCTGGATGACAGACTACTGAGGAGAGTTAGCACTTACCTACTAGCAATAAGAACAGTAAATTAGGCTTAATAGTCATATTATGGTGTGATTAAGAAATGATTTCATCTTAAAAATAGGAAGTGATGTCCAAAACTTAGTTCTCTAATGTAAGTGGGTATGTAAAGATCCCCCCCGACCATGACTGACAGGGAATTACAGTTTCCCATCTGCAGATTTCGGGTGAAGCCTGGTTCTGCCTTTGGCTGTGGTGCCTCAGATTTTGGAACTTCCAGTCCAGGGAAGAGCTCAGTCACCATCACCTCACAGTAGTCTCAACCATGTTTTATTCTATGGGTACTTTCTACAGGAAAAGTCTGCCCTCGTGGTAGCAGTCAGTAGCATTAAAGACTTAAATGCACTAAATGAGATGAACCAAAGCCAGCCAAGAATTCCTTGTGCCTGAAAAGCAATTTTCATTTACCCAGAAATGTGCTTTCAGCTTCTCCTCCCAACGTCCCCATAGGCACAGAAGTCAACTTTGTTTCTGAATTTTAACTCCTTTAGAAGGAATTAACTGCAATCTGTCTATGGTTGTGTCCTTGGATCTCGGTATCAAGACGGTTTGTCAGTCTTACCTTTCCCAAATGCAGGTTTATCCATCTGGTAAACGTCCTCTTCTGGACATTTTCCCGTTCCACTGGAAATATCAGAAACAAAAAACAGCACTTAAATTTCTGGAAGAGGGAAAGCTGGTAGGAAATTTCAAAAACTGACAGACAAAAAAGTCAGGATTCATGAGAGGCCTGTGAATAAAACAAGGATATTCCAAATGGAGAGATATAAGGTTGAGCTACAGCGTTTTATTCCATTTCTTTGCCCAGAAATGAGCTATACAGGTGCAGATGCAGATGCGCTCTGAAGGACAGCGGAAGAAGTCTCTTGGTTGTGCAGTCTTTGGAGTAGCTCTGGAGAGGTGAACATTCACGCATTGTGCCCGGCTCCCCAGCGATGCTGGCCCTGAGCAGGCAGCTGGACCTTTCCATGTCCATTTATAGGGTTACTGCTCCAACACCCTCATGCAAATTGGGCTGGCGTGGATTCCAATGCGCTTACGTGCACCCTCAAGGAAACAGGACTGCACCAGGCAATGCAACAATTTTGTCTGCATTCTTATGGGTGGAAAAGTCTCATCAAAGCTCATCTTCCCCATCGCTACTACATTTAAAATCAAAATTCCAAGTCTCTACATGGAAGAATTATTTTATTTATACAGCAATAAGATGAGGAGCGCTTGTTCCTTGCCAGAAGTGCCACATGTAGGTGCTGCACAAATAAGTCTTGGGCCAGCCAAAGAGTTTTTAATCACAGCTGCCATTTCCTGAATCCATTTCCATCGTGAACTACAGCAGAAGTGTGAGGGGAATCACATTACTGACCAACTTCCATTTACTTTATAACAGAAAAAAGTAAACCATATATTTAATATAAATGAAGTAGACTGACAAAACAGTATTTCATTTTAGAGACAATTATTCTCAAGTGGTTCTCAGATTTCACTTGAATTAAGGAAATCTGGCAATTTATGAACAAAAAAACATTAAAACTAGTTATATGCTGTATTTCAGTTTACTCATAGAGCATATCAAATAGACTTTAAACCATTTTATGTTTCTTCAGCCCTACAAAAACAGCTAACCTGTCCACTGGGAAATCACATTCAGTAGGAGTCTGCTTTGTTTGCACTGGTCAGACTCATTGTGGGCTAAGCAGCAGCTCCCGTAAATCAAATTTTAATATTGTTCTTTTTGATGGTTTTAACTGAAGGGTCAGCAGCCTCTAATCATATCTATAATTGTTTTCCCTATTTTGATGTACTGAAATAGAGCTTTCAGCATGAATTACATCTGTCACTGACAGCCATTCAGGCCTTTTAAGTCCTCTTATTCCTGTAAAACCTGATTTTATGTAAGATTGGTTAAAAAAAGTCATTACCTCTTAAGTGCTTCAGAAAACATGGAAAATGCCAAACTAATTATTGCTGTTGGCTTTTCCTTTAACAGATCTTAGAAGAACGTGCACAGATTTGAAACAGCTCTCCAGGAAAGAAACTGTAAATTATGTGAGGGTTCCAGAATATCTGTAAAAAAACCCGCAGCATTTACCACCTACAGAGGGGGAATGGTTTTAAACTGGAAGAGGGGAGATTTAGACTGGATTTTAGGAAGAAATTCGTCACTATGCGGGTGGTGAGACCCTGGCCCAGGTTGCCCAGGGAAGCTGTGGATGCCCCCTCCCTGGCAGTGCCCAAGGCCAGGTTGGACGGGGCTTGGAGCAGCCTGGGCTGGTGGAGGTGTCCCTGCCCATGGCAGGGGTTGGACTGGATGAGCTTTGAGGTCCCTTCCAACCCAAACCATTCTGTGATGCTATGATCTCAAGTACAATAAGCTAAGAGATGGATCACATCTTTCTTGGGCTTCTCTTCCCTTCTTGGGCTGGCTATCCAGACTTCCAGTACTGACCAAAATCAAAGAGGAAGCACAGAAGGGTAATCAGAGGCAAAACCAATGTTTTCTGTTTTCATCAGAGGCTTCGTTTCTTGGTTTCGGGTCCTGTTTTTATACCAGTCACTTTGGCAACCTTCATTTTCAGGGTAAATACGGATGCAAGAGAGAGCTGTGTTTATTTACAGATCATCCTCAAAACGGAGCACACATTGGCTCCTGATTTCACTGCAGAAATTCTGCCATCGCTGCAAATTAAGAGTTGCGCATATGCCTGAAAGGATGGGCGAGCCAAGCTGGTATTGCTGCTTCAGGAAGCTCACACACCGAAAAAACCAACCCACTTGCACACATACACAGGTTTCTGACACTGACCAGTGATGTTTCTAGAGCAAACAGCCTTGTTCCTGTAAGAATGATGACCCCAGGATGGGCACCATTTGATTCTGTTATGGTCTAAAGCAAATGGAACTGGATGGGGTAGAGGAAAGGGGAGGAAGTATGTTTATAAAATCCCTACGGCAGACAAACCCCTAATGCAGTCCATATGTTTGACACTAGAATTAATGGGAAAGGTTCAGCACGGGCATTTACTGATGTGTGCCTTTAACTGTTATTCTTCTCCAGCTTTGTGGACCTCCCAGTTTCGGTACAGCCCCTCTTCTCCACAACCTTTTCATTTGAGATGATTGTAGGGACTCTATAAACTTTATACGGTTTCTATAAATTAAATGGAATCTTTTTTCCTCCTTCTCACCTACTACTGTATAAAAGTGAAGAAAATAATTCAAGGCTAAAGTTCCTATGCTTACGTATGTAGTTTACTGAAACTGCACTGGGTTTACTGGGCAGCTAGAGAGCAATAACACCATTATAAAATAATAATTACACACACCATATGGCTGGCCTGCACACAAATCCTATGCTGGACAAGAAGGATGCCTGCTGCGAGGGTTGGACTCAAAGATGTAATGCTAGAAAGTAGTAAAAAGTTGGGAATTGCCATTTTGGTTCAGCTCAGCTCAAGAGAGAAATTATAAAGAGGAGTTTTGACCAGCACAGGCGACTGATTTGTCACAGAGTAAAACTAAACAAGTTCAAAAACCACTTGGGCAGATCCAAGGTTAAGCTGTTATGGACAGGACGGTTTGGCTGCTTTGCTTTGTGGCACTGCTTCCTTCCCCACCAGCTGGAAGCTCCTCAGGCGTTCACTACTGCTGCTGCCATTTCTTCCTCCTTCAGAGCTCAGAGAACAGAGCTTCAGAGAACAGGTCACTTCTGTTGCAACACCTGCAACACCCAACTCCTCACAGCCTCTGCGGCCAACAGCAGATAGCAAACACTGATCTGTGTTCACATACAGTTTACTCTGTTGTTGTCCAACCAGTTACAAATAATCCTCCGAGGCACAGCACCGCGGGGCTGGGCACAGGAAGGAGCTGTGAAACGTGGAAACCGATTTGAGTGGATCACTTGTGTGTAATTACACAGCTCCAGAAAACTGCTTCATTTGCATGTATGGATATTTCTCCCCAAGCAAAGCAGAAGCGCGTTTGAATTTGTTTCCAAAGCTATTAGCATTTCACCCAGGATACCATCAGCAGATGATGTTAAAACCTTCACAACTCGTTGAGCTGGCTTTTGGATCCACTTGCAACTCCCCTTCAGACATCTTGGTAACTACTAGTGTTGTAACACACACAAAAGCAGCTTCCTTATTTCTGCTACCAGTTGTAACCCCTAGAGATACAAGATAAACCTTTTATTAATATTCAGCTAGTTTTCAGGACAGAAATGGTGGTGTGGGCCACCTAACTGTGAAAGGGGATGCTCTGACTGCCCTTGGCTTCAGGGGTAAGACTGGCCAGGAGGATCGTCCCATAGCCGCTTCATCAGTAGCCAATGGCCACCAAGGAACCAGCTCATAACCTGTACGGCTCTGAAGAAATCCCAGCATCTGCCAAAGTCCAAGATGAGGGGAAAATGGCACTTCTTCTTAAACAACAAAAATACATGGGCAAATGTATGCTATTTAAATACTACAGCCTAATTCCAAAGTGAAACATGTGCTTCAGGCAGCCTAAGGCTTGGGAAATGCAAATTCCTCTGCTTCCACCTTCCTCACCCCAAAACCCAGCTCACACAGCCAAGCAATCAATCGGTCTGTAACAAATGCACATTGAATAATCTACTTTCAACCCAAACTCCAGGCTACTCAGTACAACCAGGACTGGATTTTAAACTGGGCTTCATGGTGTTCCTACATCGTGACTCATCCCAGGTATCTCTGATTACTACACCACACTATGAAGTTTGAATACTGTTTTCTCTGCAAACAATGTTCATGAAGGAAGCCAGGAAATGGATTTTACCTAAAACTGCTCATTTGCTGCCCGCAATGCTCCAAGCTTGTGCTGCTGTGTCTCCAGCGCTGAGGAGTGTGTTTCCAGACATGAAAACCTGTTATTGTTACAGATCATGACAAGGCTGCCTGCTATACCATTAGCTAAAGAGAACTTCTTAGGGTTTTGTTTTAATTGGGTGGTTGCATGTTTGCATAGACCCAGACCGATGATACCGAGCTGCCAGGTTGAATTTTGGTGTCAAACCAGCAAAAAGAGGGAGATGTCTGACCAAGATCTGCCTCAGTAACCTTCTGTACTCAGCGCAGCTGGGACACGTCAATCCCAGCACGCTGTTCTCCCTTGTTTTGCCTGTACGGGTGCAGGTAATGGCATTTGCCATATGGGCAAATAAAGGCCACGCCGTTAGTTATGAGGAGTGGTCAGGTACAGGATGTTGATGGGTACTGACATTCACATACAGGGTATAGACAGATCCTCGTCCAGGAGACCTTTCACTGCTCAGACACCACGCGTGGGACCAAGTTCAGGTGCAAAGACAGAAGACTGGGCACAGGCAAACAACGCATCCGACTTGGGAAGAGTGATAGAGGTGAGCTGTAACCAACAACATTGAACGTGTAAAGTAGGACAGGGAAAAGAGCAATTAAATTTTTTACTTTTGCCTCACCTCAACAGAGAGTTGCACTGAACACATTGAACTATGAACCCGCAGAGACTTGATGGCTGTTATGTATTTTTACAAGGGGTTGAAAAAATAGCTCGCAACAAAAGACAACATGTGGGAAAGCACAGTGAGGCCTACACGGTGCAGTGCAGCTCCACTGCTCAGTGCTTACAAGAATCATCTCGTAGTTGTAGGAGTGTGAATTTTAATGGCATAATCAATATAAGGAATAATTTCATCCAGATAGCCCACAAAATTCATTCTATAAGCTTCTGAATTCCTGGGAATTGTATATTTTCCTTGTGCTTAAGAAACCACCAAACAGCTTAGAAGATTAATAAAAAATTTATTTTTGATCTAAAGAGGGGCTGAAGGCTTCGTTGTGTACCAAATGCCAAACTGATGTCATTTGGAGCACATGAAATATTAAATCTTTAAAAAAAAATCTGTTTTTCTGAAGGAAACATTAACTACGCTGTATAACGTGAGCCTGCTCTCAAGTTACCTCCTATGAAATGAGGCCTCTAAGCCTCCCAGATGAAGTTGTTAAGGTAATTGTTTGTTGAAACCGACCCATTTATGAGGGGCCTTCTTATTACATTTGTATGGCAGGTGCTGAAAGCCCGAGGCTTTTTCATTCCATCGAAGCTGCAGAGCCTGAGTCTCGCTGGTTCCAACT